CTTAATGTTACTCTGAATTGTCTCAATACTGCTTTGAGTTGGGTCAGTGTTGGCAAATTTTATGATACATTTGAGGATTCTGCTTACTGATTTGGAAAATTGACAGATGTTTTTGATGCACCATCCTGTGTTTAGTGTTTGGAAGACTGAAGTACAATGTCCTGTTGTATAAGAAGAAGCTTTAGTCCACTTTGTGCTGTTGGTACAGTGAAGTTGGCACGGATTAACTTGACACCCATAGTAATATTTTGTTTTCTAAGAAAATATGTTCCAGTCATCTGTTTTTAACATAGTTGTGTTTCAATCTCAAACAAAGGTTTTTGTATTAATTTGGTACCCAAAATAATGGGTTATTTTCAAAGAAAACACATCTAATAGTCACCTCTTTAAATCATATTTGTTATTTAATCTCAGATAAAGGTTTTACAGCCTCATTTGATATGAAGGAGTAGAATTTTTCTCTAAACTAAAGAAATGTTTTACAGTTACCTTTTTAAAACAACTTCGTGTTTCAATTTCAAATATAATATTTACAAACTACCAGTAATTTGATATCTAACAGTTGTCTTTTTAAAACTTCTTTGTGTTTTGATCACAAATAAAGTTTTAAGGCACTTCTTAAGGAAACATTCTTTTTGATGGTATTACCTTTGGCCATGGTTGTATGAAAGTTGTCTTGTGCCATCTAACAGTTGATGTCATATAGATAATGTTTTCAGTGGCACATAAGTTGTACAATTCTTTGAATAGCCATTTTCCCATCAGTACATATAAAGAGCTGTGGTGCCAGAACTTTTCTGTGATCTACTTTAGCAATAACAATCAAAGTTGTGATGGTATTAATTTGGTCCCACACATGTGCATCTCCTAATGGTGCATATCATCTCAAGGGGAATTAGGTCACATTTCTCAGTAAAAGCTGCATTTGCGTCGTGTAAAATGTAATGACAGGCAGGGTATTTGCTAAAAAAACATTTTGTTCAAAGATGTACATTTTCACTTCATTAATAAGATACTACTCAAGTAACATATTTTCAGTTTGATTATTGATATCTTTAAGGATGTAACATGAAATGGTTTTGTAATCATTTTGCAACCCAACTATAGTGTAAGGTTTGGTTTATCTTTGATGTTTAACATAACTCTCAGCAAAATTACAGTCATAAATAATAAAGTCTGAAGCAGACAAACTCATGATTGACATCATGATCATTGAGAAGATAACAATCAACCAAGTGGCCGAGCCTGACCACCTGATCCATTTCCTACTGTTGTTACAAACACAGATTGCCAAGGACCTATTCTCTGTTATGTGACAGCAACAAAGTGGAAGTGTAAATATGGAAGTGAAGCAGAATGAAAATTGTAGATTTCAAGTCAAATCGTCAAACATGGCATCGTAGATACAGATGGTAAATGTATTGGGATGGTAGGAGTACTGCTGAATAGTAGTAGTGCAGTGACATCACTGCTTTGTTACATTGTTGCCTGACTTCATGGTGTCTTACCGGGAAGTAGACATTTGTTATTACAGTAAAAATCCTTTGATGTGTGTGTGTGTGTGTGTGTGTGTGGGGGCTGACTGTGCTGGTTGTTTGAATGGATCAAACTTTCTGGGTTATACTAAATTCTGAACTACCTAATGGAATAGGTGATATAAAGTCACACAGTTTTCCTAAGAGGAGGAAGTACTGCAACGTTAACAGCACGTTTTGAAGGATGATTTGTCTGCAGGTACACTTAGTGTACTTGCGTGCGCAGATACAGTTTCATATGTATTGAAACTACAGTGAAGACTGGATGTGTACTTTGTATTATGAAATAATTAGTATAAAATAACATGATTAAAATAATTTGTGCTAAGATGTCCATTCAATTAAATTTTACATTTTGTTTTGTTGCCATATCATTAATAAAGTAAAATATTATCTAAAATCTGGTTTATTGTATATCACTTTGTTGTACAATTTCTTTTACTTTCCATTTGCGAATTTAGTGTTACCCGTATGCTTATCATCACAAATTATATCCATTGTTCTTCAAATGCAGGGGGGGGGGGTGGCGGTGGGGTAGCCCAGTGGTTAAAGCGTTGGCTCGTCACGCCGAAGACCCGGGTTCGATTCCCCACATGGGCACAATGTGTTAAGACCATTTCTGGTGTCCCCCGCCGTGATATTGCTGGAATATTGCTAAAAGCGGCGTAAAACTAAACTCAGTCAGTCAGTCAAATGCGGGCAGTCTGAAAATCCCTGCGTGCCACCCTTATTTGTTGTTACAAACATCACAAATGTCTACTTCCCGGTAATAAACCGACTTCATGGCTGTGTATGACATCATCAGTGGTGTATTGACACTTATCAGAAATTGAAGGAAATATAAATGTGTACTTACATAAAGATTAGCGAATATATTAGCATGTAGATATTATCATGTTTTCCTGTTACAAACATTTTCTCCATAAGCAGTTAAATGTTGCAAATATATTATTCCTCTATGCGATATTGTTACAATGGTGAATGATTTCTTTATACGATTCAGTTTTGAGTGATAGTAGGCAAGTGCATCTTTTGCAGTTAAACACACCACTCCAATTCCTGTTTATTTTTGACAGTTAGCTTATATCATCAAGATTTTAGAATACTTATTTTAGAAAAAGTTAATACTCTTAATATGAACCATCAGACATACTTAATTTCTTTTGCTCTTCATGATCATTAGATTACTGCCCCTGTTGTCTGAAACTGCCTACAACGATGTTCATATACATCGCACATCATTTTCAAATTATCTCCTTCTTACTTCCATGCTGGCAGGCAGATCGCTTGATAAATAAATACCATTTTCTCTTTTCTGTTCCACCATAAAGACATCAGTTGAGCCATTACTGCAGTTACCCAAATGTCTTTTGGAGATTATTTTGAACTGTCCAAGTGATTTTATCTTCAGCTTTATCTGTTTTCAATTTGAATGACTGCTGTGATTACAGTGCAATATATTTGCGCTAATCTCTTGTCAATTTCGGAAATGAACATTGTTATAAAGAGTAATGAGATACGGCTTTATCACCGACATGAATTTCAGACTTGAAAAAAATCTCATCTGCATACCACTGACCAACACTGAGTGCTTTGGCAACCATTTCTGTGAAATAAATGAAAGTAGTCCTAGTTGCTTGGCTGTGTTAGTGTTCTTTTTTATAGAATGGTCCATGTATTTTATTGATTTATTATAAAATAATTGTTAAAGTTACACATTTAACATTTTTGATCAGTTAATTGATGAGGATGACATATGTTTTACTTTCTTTACAGTTTTTAAAATTATATCTGTCCTTTCTTGCAGTGTTGCAATGTTGCTTACTGCAGCATAAAACTACATCATTCACTCACCCATTGGTATCGATTAATGGTTGGGGCGGTGGGGTAGCCTAGTGGTTAAAGCGTTCGCTCGTCACGTCGAAGACCCGGGTTCGAAGCCCATTTCTGGTGTCACCCGCCGTGATATTGCTGGAATATTGCTAAACAACGGCGTAAAACCAAACTCACTCACTCATAGATTGATGGTTGGAGGTATACTGAAGATGAAAAGGCATCTTTACAACCTGAGATGAGGCGTTCCTTGTTCAGATGCATGGCTATATGTTGGTTGTGCAGAATACCCTATTATACCCTAATAATTATTAATAATTCTGAATATTAATACACAATGCCATTTAGAAAGTGGTCAGATGTAGCAATTGTAATGTTATAATTCTGAATGATGGTGATGAGAAAACCCTTGCCATTTAAAGTCACACTTTAAGGTTTAAAAACCTCTCAATTTTGGGCTTGAGATCAAGTTTTCCCTCTCGACCCATGCCACATTTTGAAAAACATAGCCCATTTGTGGACCCAAGAGCTGTGAGCTGTCAACATGTTCCTTACAAAGCTTAATCTTTCCAACAGGTTGCTCATATACTTTCTACAGATTATTCTAATAGATGTCCAATTGCCTTTAAAGCCTGGGGCGTTGTGGGTAGCCTGGTGGTTAAAGCGTTCGCGTGTCATGCCGAAGATCCGGGTTCAATTCCCCACATGGGTACAATGTGTAAAGCCCATTTCTGGTGTCCCCCGCCATGATATTGCTGGAATATTGCTAAAAGCAGTGTAAACCCAATTCACTCACTCACTTTAAAGCCCACTGGAGACTGGTATTGTGTTTTAGGCATAATGACATACTCACAACAGTGCATTTTTCATGTCAGTGTTTCCACTTTTAGGGAGGGTAATTGTTGGCGTGCATAACAATTGCTCTTCAGAATACTGAGTGTCAGACTAAAGCATCAGCATCATGCAGGTGTTCTAAATCAAGTGAATGTGGATCTCTTAAAAGTTCAAATTGTTTGTGTTTTCAAAGATAGATGATAAGATGATAAACTCATCAGACAACCTTATGCGATGGTGTGTCATCTGCCAATCTATTCACTGTAAGATCTTTGCAAAAAGATCCTCTTAAATAAAGATTCTGAACCTTCCCCATCAAGATATCATCAATGATGGCCTTATAGTGTGCTATCCTGATACAATCAAATGTCATTGTGGCTGCCATGGTTACAATGCTCAAAATGTTGGCCTCCGTCCTATGATAAGCCTTTCATCACAATTTAGATAGTTTTAGAGCGGTGAAGCTGAAGTAGAAATCCTACTGATTATCTAAACCTGAACACTTTCTGTTACAGCAACATATGTTACTCCAATGCAATAAGTGATTGTTAATTGGTTTTTAGTACACAGTTCGAATGTTGCATACTTTTAGGTAAAATATATTTTGTAATTGTCTTCTACATGAGCACTTTCAGAGGAGTGTATTTGGTTATGGTTTGAAAATGAAAATGGTTCAGTTTTGTTGTGAATCATGAAAAACATTTACCAAGCAGTTGAAATGACTGGAAGTGGTACTTGATCATTGACAGATGGGACAATTGAACTGGGTAATAATTAGAATGGTGAATATCTTTTCAGGTGATGATCCTGCTGCTATATCGTCTTCAGGCACAGATGATGACACCTCGGATGAAGGGGCTGCAGGTATGTTAGCATCAACCTAAGGATATCATGAAGATTTATTTTCATTCTGTGTGCAAGACAATGGTGGTTGGTTTCCCGAAATTTGTCATCAATGCTGTTTTGTTAAAGACCACAGTGTTGGATTCCTCACATGTGTACAATACGTACAGGGTTTTACCTCAACTCACAAACATTGGGGTCCTGTAGACCCTCAATTATTAGTTTTGGAGGTCCTTGCAGGCGATGTGAGGGTCCAGTGAAGTAACAGTGTAGAAAACTGTACATTTCTTTCGAGCCTGGAATGAAGTCATAGATGTGTTGTCGGTACAATGAATAATATTGTGTGTCCCTCAAGATGCAGTGAATGTGCATCGCGTAAGATGCTGTATGTGTAATCCATGCTAGATGTTAACTTTTTGAAAGAGGTGATTATCCACTGTGTATGTTACGTACATGGGCAACAGCCATATGGTAGTGTCCAGCTAGTTTCCAGCGTAACAATATATCACAATAGGAAGCATCAGTATATGAAATAGTTAGAGAGACAATTATATTTCATGATCTGTTAGATGCTGTCACCCACACATTCTTTTTATATCACCAATCCTGTCAGATGCAATTATTATTAACTCCAAATGTAAGGGAACCATACAACATTTAAATGGAGGCATTTTTCATGTGGAAGAGTGGTGGGCGAGCTGGCTAAGGCGCCAGGCTAGTGATCCAGCGACGTTGAGGTGCCGGGATCGAGCCCACCTGTGACTGGGTGTAAAAAACCTTGGAGTAACTTTGTGTGCAGACTCTTTCAGTGTTGTCACAACCCCTAGTGTACATTACACAACCCTGTGCACTTAAAAGAACCCACGAATCCGTTGGTATATGACCAGATGGTGGCCACATGAATACATGCAAACACCTAGTTGCGGGTACAGCAACGTGCAGTAAAGTACTGTGACTATGTGTCCCAGTCCACCCAACTGTGAATGGGTACCTCGTTAGGATGAGAAAGCCACAATAACTCGGTGCGCCTAGTGGCAGCAAGAGTTGTATACTCCCCAGGGAGTTGAGATTGATAATACGATGTGCCGTTGAGATTGACATCCAATGATCGAGGGGCGGTGGGGTAGTCTAGTGGTTAAAGTGTTGGCTCGTCACGCCGAAGACCCGGGTTCGAATCCCCACATGGGTACAATGAGTGAAGCCCATTTCTGGTGTCCCCTGCCGTGATATTGCTGGAATATTGCTAAAAGCGGCGTAAAACCAAACTCAGTCAGTCCAATGATCGAGGGAAAAATACCAGTGCCTTGAGCATGCACCAGTTGCGTGGATATGTGCGCTATATAAATATACTATAATAATAATAATAATAATAACACATCAGTATGTCAAAGAAACTGTTATTAGCAGCTGCCTCTGAATATGCAGTCAAGATCTTACTTGCAGTACAATAGACTTATTTCTTCTGTTCCCATGGTATAGAAAAATGTCTACTTAAAAATGTTGTTGATATGAAACAAGCTTAATATGAACAAATTGAAAGACTATGTCACAACTGGGAAGAATGTCTAGAAATCTTACTTTTGTACCTAACCTGAGCATTTGGTTTAAGTAAGGTGCTCATCGTCATTTTGCATATTTCCTACAATTTGTCTGAAACTAGTCTGTCATACAGCCATATCCAAGAAATGTCTAGAAAATGTGGCAAGTCTAGATTTCCACAGCTTCAAATGAAGAAAGTCTCAGGGCTCCTTTTCATTATGTTTGATTTTTATACTATGAACTTTTTTTCTGTAAAATATGTTCATTTCAGAGACTAGTTGTTAGTCTAGACTGAAACCACAAAGGCCATTTGCATGATATCATTTTATTCTCACTCTGAATACTGAAGCATCAAAAATGGTTCATTTGTACCATCATTAGATCATGTGTGTCACTTGTATTGTTTGTCAGATGCATACTATGTGTATCACTTGTTCCATCATCTGATGACCATAGCATATCTGTCACTGGCACCTTTGTTAGATGCCAAGGACACATACAAACTCTTCTTTGTACCATGTCATCAGTTGTGTATGACACACAACATGTATTTCCTGTACGTACAATCATGAGATATTTAGGGTATGTAACATTGTTTAAGGCCACATTTATTACTCTTGTACCCTCATCTGATCTGAAAGCCTCACCTTACGTGTCATTTGTACTATCATCAGATGTTTAAGGCATACCCTATTACTCTTGTACCCTCATCTGACCTGAAGCCTCACCATACGTGTCATTTGTACTATCATCAGATGTTTAAGGCATACCATGTGTCTCTTGTACCCTCATCTGATCTGAAAGCCTCACCATACGTGTCATTTGTACTAGCATCAGATGTTTAAGGCATACCATGTGACACTTGTACCCTCATCTGATCTGAAAGCCTCACCATACGTGTCATTTGTACTAGCATCAGATGTTTAAGGCATACCATGTGTCTCTTGTACCCTCATCTGATCTGAAAGCCTCACCTTACGTGTGATTTGTACTATCATCAGATGTTTAAGGCATACCATGTGTCTCTTGTACCCTCATCTGATCTGAAAGCCTCACCATACGTGTCATTTGTCACTATCATCAGATGTTTAAGGCATACCATGTGTCTCTTGTACCCTCATCTGATCTGAAAGCCTCACCATACGTGTCATTTGTACTATCATCAGATGTTTAAGGCATACCATGTGTCTCTTGTACCCTTATCTGATCTGAAAGCCTCATCATACGTGTCATTTGTACTAGCATCAGATGTTTAAGGCATACCCTATTACTCTTGTACCCTCATCTGATCTGAAGCCTCACCATACGTGTCATTTGTACTAGCATCAGATGTTTAAGGCATACCATGTGTGTGTCTTGTACGCTCATCTGATCTGAAGCCTCACCATACATGTCATTTGTACTAGCGTCAGATGTTTAGGGCATACCATGTGTCTCTTGTACCCTCATCTGATCTGAAGCCTCACCATACGTGTCATTTGTACTAGCATCAGATGTTTAGGGCATACCATGTGTGTGTCTTGTACGCTCATCTGATCTGAAGCTTCACCATACATGTTATTTGTACTAGCGTCAGATGTTTAGGGCATACCATGTGTGTGTCTTGTACGCTCATCTGATGTAAAGGCCATGTCATACATGTACATAGAGTCAGTCAAGGATAAACTGTCTGTTTTGAGCCAAACCCCTTTGTGCATTTATCTGTGTCAAAACATGCCAAGAAATATTATCCCTGAGGAAATTGATTGACATATACCAAACATCTTTTTTTATGTACTTTTTCATTAACTTTAGCTAATATACACTGTGATTGCAATGCAGCATGTGCATACTTAGTTTGGGGTAATCTGTATTGAATGTCTACTGCATGTACACTAAAATTGAATTTTATATGGTATGTACTCCGTCACGTGTGTCATATGACGTCTTTATCCTGCTACAATATTATCTATGATGATCTCATGACTAAATTTGAGAAAAGAATTGTCTGGGATGAAAGGACAGTTTCTTCAGGCACACCATTTGTATTGTACTGTAGGGTATAGATGGAAGGCAGTAGGTGGTATGTCAGGACTGGCATGTGACCCCACCATTGTGCGGCTCCATGTATGATACTCTGTCAAGAGCAGTGTCTCAGAAAACAAGAGTGTGTTGTAATCAGTCACTCAGGAACATTCAGTGCTGCAGAGTATGTATTTGAGAGGCCTAACGATTTAAAGCAAATTTAACAAACTACAGCCCACTGAACGAGGGAAATGAGAGATTAAACCCTCTTTCTTCTCCACTGAAAGGATAAACAGCTGGAAATAATTAGAGACTTGCCCAGGGAAAGTTTCTATAATTTTCCTGAATGTGCCCTGAAGCTAATAATCAAGATATTACCTTGGACTTTCAGCACTAAACACAATGCAATGACACAATTTCACTATCACATACTCTTTTTGGATAAAATATGAAAGGTAAAATGCTAGGGTCATGAGAAATTGATAGGGATATGTCTTGAAAGCCAATCTAAAAGCTGTGGATCAAACCAGACCTGTATGTGTGTATTGTCTTTGTGTCAAGCTGATTGCCTCCAGGGATGATGTTCCATGTTCCCAAGATATTGCAGTAGCATAAGCTGCAGACATATTTGTCCAGTGTTTAGGCAAGTGACTACAGGCAAAAAGACTGCAACCTAATATAGATTCCAAGGGTCGAACTCATTTTAGGTATTGAGTAGCCTATTGTTGAATTAATACTGTCTTTGATTTTACACTGCTTTGTAATTTGATTTTTATCTGTTAAGAGTTTTCCAGCCTGTGGCACGAGGCACGTTTTTAATTGTGGTTGCAAAGTAATGAAATAATACAATCCCTGTTTTTGCTGTGTTTCTAATTCGTTTAATTGCTTCCTTCTGCAGGCCATGTTTGTTTTTTGTTTTTCAATTTCTTAAATTGAATTGAATATGATTTTAATGTTTGTCTTGAAGCTATAATGACTCATGAATAATATTTCATTTCCGATATTTGTAAAGTTAATGTGGGACAGAACGAGACTTAGTCATCAATTTTGAAGAGTTGAAATGTAATTTTCAGTGATTTTTCAGGAGGGAAATTGAAAAAAAGAAAATTAACTGCAAAATGAAACAGTTTGAAGAAGGGTTTAAATTGTCCATCTTCACAGTTTTAGCTTGTAAAAAGTTTCTATAATCATCTTTACTTCATTTTCGAGATATTTTCTGCCACTTGTATTTAATTTTGTGTGACAAGGAGATAGAATAATGTTATTTCAAATCTGAGATGAAATTAGTTCTAAGCTAATACAAAATTTCAAGAGGAGATAGAATAGAAAACACATAATCTAATGCTGACTTTTGTTATCAGTCTGGTTTATTAGATTCTCTCAATCTTATGTTCCAGGTTCTTTTACCCTGTTTTTTCATCCGAATTGAAATAGAACTGAATGACATGTCTTGTTTTTAGCCTGTGATACAGCTTATGACAAACAATCTGCATTTCCACAGGTTAAATTTCAACATCTATGAATGAGAATGAGAAATGTTAGGTTATTTTTACATTTAGCATATAAAGTGATCTGTAAATAGGAATGACAGATACTAGTATGTGATTTGACAGTCTCTCTTCATTTACATTAATTTAAGTCTAAACTAGAGTTGTGAGCCAGTTGTCCACAAGCAGGTGATGATCGCTGCCGGTAACAGCTGCATTGCCAACACGTCAAAACAGGATATGCTACGTGTAATGGAGACAGTTTGCTGTAATGAAAAATTTGAATTTACTTTCAAATGAATCATATGATTGAGTTGAGTGCTATCGGAACATTATCAATGTATGGATGACACAAAATGTTACCTGTTTGGGTGTTGAACCTACTTTGATGGTGTTGCTTTAGCTGTTAGGTATAGGTGGCAAATACAGGGATGGCCAACATGTCATGAAATAATTGAAAAGTACCGGTTTTCAACAGGAACATATACCGTTGTGTCTAAAGCTGTCGCACAACACATGACCGATAGTGTTGTTTGTGATAGACAATTTGCCTGAAACTATGATTTGTTTGAAATCTGTTTTCATTATTTTCCACAGGATCGATCTTGTAGCTCACCTTATCTTTCCACTGCTGTTACTAGTCACCTGAATTGTTGTCACTGATAATTGCAGTTTGTCTACTGTTTGGTTTGCCTGTGTTAAGTGCTTTCGTGCCATCTCTTCTGTCCCTGTTTTTACATCCAGCCTCTATCATCGAGATAAAAGGAAAACTATTTGACAAGTTGTGTCTTTTGAATTTAGCTTGGGGACATAAGTTTAAGAATTGTAAGTCTTGACCTTTTCTGCAATGTAGACACTGTACAGGTTTGTATGAAAAGTATGAAATAAATATCAGATATGCAATTTTTAGAAAAGAAATACTGTATATTCTTTTGTAAAATTTCATTCCACTAATTCAGATAGTATGACAGTTCTAGCTCTATCATGGGGGGACTGAAACTTAATCCTTGACATCAGAGCACAGTGACATAATATAAAGTACTGAATCTGATTTTCTTGACTCTTGTTTGACAAACATATGGCCCCAGAAAATAAAGATAATTCTATTAGGCAACCCCGAAGTCTCTTAATTCTAAGAGCTGAAAATGGGATGAATATAGGTTAACCGAGTACAGAATGGGATGAGAGGTGGATTGAGGTGAAACTTTTAAATATTTGTTCTGGGGTCTGTAAGATTAGGCTCTTAAGATAAGTGTGAGTCAATGGCGACCTATTCTAACCCACAGTTTCTTTATGGCAGAAGGATGCAAATGTTAGCCAAAGTGGACATGTGTTATTTCCTGTAGATGTTCATGGTTTTCAGTTTCAGATTCTCTTAAATTAAGGTAACTGACTTGACAGTACTTGAGCCTTAGTATTTTTCAACTAAGTAGAAAATATAATTAGGGAAACAAATAAAGGATCACATGAAAGCTTTGTATTGCACAGCTTGTGAAGAAACCTGGAAAAAAAATAAAGGAACACTTGTGCTTTCATGTGATCCCTTATTTTTTCCACTCAGTATATATACTCATGGAAGCAAATAAGGGAACACATGAAAGTCAGAATTACACCCACAGTGCAATACATACATTGTGAAGAAACCTGGAAAAGAATAAAGGAACACTTGTACTTTCATGTGTTCCTATAGTTGTTTCCATGAGTATATTTTACCTTCATCGCCTTTCTGCAAAATAAGCTGACATGTCATACTTTGATTGAAGCACTTATCAACTAGGGAAAACAATGAATGGGAATCCATGTTACGATAAGACTTGTCATATGATGTGACAAAATGGATCATGTGGTCTGGCTTGGTGACACAACTGATTGTATGTCATCGTCCCCTGATGTTGTGGGATGTTGAATATGAACCATTGGTTTGTCTGGTCCAGACTTAATCATTTACAGTCTATCATCATTTATTAGAACATTACTGCAAGTGGCTGTCAACAACAAATAGTAACTGATGTTGTTGTTGAATCAAACACAATGGGTTTCCTAAATTCAGTAAACATATTTGAATGCTGCCTCACCTGCACCTCCACAAGTTCTTCTTCTGGATGATTCTGTGTTGACATCAAATTACAAACATACTTCTTTTTGTCCTTGAAATTTAAAAAAATGTAGGGTTTGAATTAACAATGTAATTTTCTGGACTGTTTGTATTTGTGTTGTGTAAACGTCTATGGGACTTATGAGTAGTTGATTACAAAGCACATTAATTTCTGGTGTGTTTTTTACAATTGTTTGCTATATGTTTTGTTGTGATCTATTTTATTTTCATAATTCCTAATGAGATGTGTTTTTTAACACTCAAATGCATGCCTTTTGTTTGAAAGTTTACCACAATCATGGGAGGCACCTGTGTACCAGGTCATTACAAGAATCAACTTGAGGTCCATGTGGCCTGGATAGGCTACTGTGATTGTTTACTGTGGAGATACTGTTCATCAAATTCAGTGTGTGAAGGATGTCATCGCATAGTTGTCAAAACAGTGTCCAGGTGTAAAACCATTCTTGTTCATGTTGATTGAAACATGCCTGTGTTGATTAAACAGTTTGGGAAAATTATATAAACATACATTTAATTTGTTTGCTATTGTAATGAAGAAATGATACTGTGTTGCTGCATTGTTGATGCCTTGCTTCAAAGTTTACTTGGTTTTTGTATGAACTTTTGTGTTGGGATGAATACAAACAACGTTTTTTGTTTAATTTGTGTAATGTCACAATCATGATTCTAGCTTTGTCTCTTATAATTGTCATAGCACTAAGATAGCTGTATGGCATGGGGTTCTGAATCTACTGGCGTTCAGGTCTAAGTCGGGTGAGCTACATGTTATTTCTTATTTTATTATGCTGTAATTCTTTTCATTATGCTTTGAAATTCAGTTCACAAGCTCAGTGTGTATGTGTGTGTGCATGCGTGCGTATGTGTGTGATGAAATCATCTACATGTGAGTAGTTTCCTTTAACGGGTATCAATCACTGACACATCTTGGATGTATCATGCAGTCTCTTCGAAAGGCCCCGCAATCTGTGAAATGTTCTGGTAACAGCATGACAATTAATGTAATGAAGAAGTTACTCAGTCTACTGAATTAAACCAATTAATTATGGATCTTAAAATATGATTTCATTGAAGTAATATTGAATATATCTGTTCAAGTTGGTTGAAACTTCTAAATTCTGAAGTCGTTTCATAGTGTGTCCATTTAGTTTTACGCCGCCCTCAGCAATATTCCAGCTATATGGCGGCGGTCTGTAAATAATCAAGTCTGGACCAGACAATCCAGTGATCAGCAGGAGCATCGATCTACACAATTGGGATACGATGACAAGTCAGTGAGCTTGACCACCCAATCCCATTAGTCGCCTTTAACGACAAACATGGGTTACTGGAGATCAATTACAACCTGGATCTTCATGAGTCTCGTTTTATAGTGTTTGAGAACATCAGATTGAAGGAAAGTGTACATGTTTCTTCTGAGTTTACCTTGTGCAACAGCTGGAAACCCTTAGAATGCACACCTCACCTTGGTGTTGTATTGATCACAGTTCTGGTGAAGTGTTTAAACAGGGCAGATTTACTTTAAAGGACAAAATCAATACTTAACATACATATACTGTGCATTAATTCAGTGTACCTTGTGTTAGCGTTTTGAATAGAAGCAGGAACATTAATTCAGTGATTCTGTTTTTGATATAGACTGCTTTTCAAATTATCAGAATATGGATAGCATATTTCAAATTGTTGAAACTACAAACAATGCCATGTTTAATAACATAGCTATAGTTATTTTTTAGGAAAGGTAGAGTATTATGTTTAAATAAAAAATATGGAATGTATTATAAATATATATTGGATTTTCTGTTTTCATTTCATTAGGTGTCAATATATTGTCTACTTTCAACAAAGAAATATCTAAATTTGTAAAAATACAAGCAGTTCTTTTTCAATAAACCTATTCAGTGAAAAAATATTGTATATGTTTAAAAAGATGAATTGTTCATCAGTTTGGCACAAGTTTGAATAACATAATCATTGCTTATATGCATATGCTTTTATCATTTGAATGGTAAGCTTTGATGCATAGATATTTAATATTTTCTCTGATTTAATTTAGCATAAACACACAAGGAAATATTTCAACTGAGATGATAATATAAATGTTATAGTAAATGATATTGAATCTGTTCAACAAACTCAAGCACAGATGTGGAATGTATTGCAATGTCCAGCCAACTGGAATGAATGACTAACAGAGTTTAAATAAACACAAATGGTTATAACAAGTTATTTTGCATTAACAAGTTCACACAAAGTTTATTTTTGTATGCCATGTATACATCAGTGTTGATTGAAAAGAAATATTTATTTTCATCTAAATTATTATTCTCTCTGTAATAGATATATGTCTGTGAAAACCATAATGTTGTTTTGGGTCATCTGGAAGGGGAGGCTTAGGTTTTTAATTGTTAATTTTCATTAATGCATATTTGTGTGTTGATGTAATGAATCGGGATGAATGGATTTTTTGTGTGTAAAATACTTCATCAGTTATTAAAAATGTCAGATACTACAGTTTTCACACAAGACACAAGTCCTTGAGATTCCACACAATGTCTGTCAGATCTCACATTATTCACTCAAGGCATATCAGTAGTGATTTCACTCAAGGTCTGCCTGTAGAATGTTCACACATGGTCTGTCTGCAGAGATTTCACACAAGGTCTGTCAGGAGAAATTTCACATTGAGGCTGTCAGTAGAGATTTCACACAAGGACTGCCAATAGAAGTTTCAAGCAAGGTCTGTGAATAGAAATTTCACACAAGGTTAGTCTTTGGACATTTTACACAAGGTCTGTCAATATAGGTTTTCAAAGAAGGTCTGTCAGTAGACATTTCACACAATGGCTGTCAGTAGAGGTTTCACAGAAGGGCTGACAGTAGACATTTCACACAAGGGCTGTCAGTAGAGGTTTCACACAATGACTGACAGTAGAGATTTCACACAATGACTGATAGTAGAGATTTCACACAAGGGCTGTAAGTAAAGATTTCACACAATGTCTGACAGTAGGGGTTGTCAGTAGAGATTTCACTCAAGGACTGCCAATAGAGTGTTTGTGCAAGGGTTGTCAGTAGAGATTTCACACAAGGTCTGTCTGTCAGTAGAGTGACGATGAGGTCTGTCAGTAAATGATGCACATGTCAGATTATACTGACACAAGATCAGTGTTCACTTGTTACATGTTATAGATGTTTAGTACCAACCCATTGTTGGTGATTCTACAAACATCTTACTTTCATTCTTAAAAACATCTATGTTTTTACTATTTGATAAGTTGAGGTAATATGTCTCATAATATTCATGGCTGTAAACAGTTATTTTGCTGAGAACAAAAGGCAGTAGGACATTTAAATTATGTTATATGGTCTGAAAGTATGTGTAGCTCTTTTTTGGTGTCACC